GGCCCCTCCGCGGAGCCGCAGCCCGGCTGGCTCGAAACTCCCGACGGCACACGCCGCCCTCCGCCCGCCGCCGACCAAGGTTCTCCTGGCCCCGCCCCCTCGTGGGCCCGCCCCCTTAGGGCGCGGAGTCTGGAGCTGATTGGCCTGGGTCGGTCCCGGAGCGCGCGGCCATTGGTCCCGGGGTCGCCGGAGACGAAGGGGCGGGACTGCGCGCCGCCGCGATTCCCGTAACGCAGCTCCCCGCGTCCCGGATTCCCGTGGTTTGAGCCCCGGTCTCCTCTCCTAGACGAGATCGAAGGCTTCCCCGCCGCTCCTCCGCGGGTGGCCGGGACGGAAAGTTCCATTTCCCCCCGAGGGTAATGGGGTCTTGGACCGCAGCCCTGGCCTCAGCTGCCTCCCTGGGCGGTCTTCCCCGAGGGCCTGCGAGCCTCCGGAGACAGCCCGGAGGCCCTTGGGACTCCGGAGGCGAGGGAGCTCCCTGGGGACAGGGCAGGGCTTAGTGGCTGTGACTGCACACGCCAGTGGTGACCGCTCCAGTCCTAGGCTTAAGTAAACGAACCAACCTTGCTACTGTGCTATTTTTTTGTTGCTAGTAAATGAGTTTGGGTGTGATTGATTGATCCGTGAGTCCCAGAATTGGTGACCTGCCAAGAAACTCGTGTGTTTTTTTGTGGTTTGCATCTCCTGGTCTGTGATTAGAAATACCGCGGAAAAGCCAATTTCATTGTAACTCATCACCCTCCTCCCCTCGACTGGAAAATGAACCTAAAAGCTCATGTGTGTGTGTGTGCGCGTGTTTGCGTGTGTGTATGTGTGTGTGTGTGTGTGTGTGTGTGTGTGTGTGTGTGTGTACCCCGCACCCACGCAAGGTGAGAAGCTTAAAAGATAAGGGATGTGTAGCTGTAAAGAAACATTCCAATTTGTGTTGGTGAACTGAGCGTAGGGCCTGCCCTAGAGTGAGGTTGATATAATCAGTGTAACTCCATTGAAGAAAAGTGATTCTTCCCCAACGTCGTTTTTGTTTTTTTGCTTTGTTTTGTTCAAAGGAGAGAAAGGACAGGAAGTTGGTTGGATGGACAGGTGTGTGGGAAGAGTTGGGGGACAGACAGCAGAGTGGTGTGGTAAAAATACACAGTTTAAAATTCTCAATAAAGTGTTTTTAAAAGATTAAAAGTGAAGAAATTATTCAAAAAGACGGACTGTGGGCAAGGGGCTTTTTGGAAGAAAAGTACAATAATGGTACAATTATGGTAGGCTACAGTAATGATTTAAGGAGCAAATAATCCCCATGAATTAGTCATTTTAAAGTTCTTTGTTATGTTGAAGATTCGGCTGGAACAAAAT